CATGTTTGTTCAGTAATTAATTCAATGATCTAGATAAATATTTACATATTGGTAGTTGACACCTTTCACAGGTTTGAAAATTATYTTCTGTTAGTGTGTATGTGTGTTTGGTTTCGTTTTCTCAAAGATAAATTTCATTTAAATAAGGGTGAGGCTTTAGTCATCAGAAGCATCACGAATTGCATTGGCAACTCAGGATGTATAGTTGGTAAGAAGCGACAAGTACTCTCGTCAGGCATGAATGATAATCGGCCATWACTGACAAATAAAACACTTAAGGAGTCTTTTAGCATGAACGTACATCGATTATGAAGAGGATACGGATCATTTGGATTATGATATACAATAGATGTATATAATAGCGTTTTAATAGTTTTTTCTATATCTAATCATTATYTAACCATTACTTAACCAGGATTTTTGGATCGTAAGAGCCTAGAATGACGAACCATTATATATTAAAATCTGTGTTGCAAACCTCTGCTTATTTGCAGATCATATATTTGTAAGCGATATGTAGGGTTTTATTAAAGTAGTTCATAAAAACYGAGAATGAGTAACGATAAAGATATCCGTGTGGGTTTGAGAAAKTAGATTTTTAGTCACCATGTAGGTTGTTGTTTTGCTAAGAGGAAATTGTTATGTTAATCACGTCTGTTTTTGTTCAAATTTAATTGTCTTCTTTTTACTGGYTGAAGAACATTGTAAAGCTGCAGGTAGACTAATAAAGCCAAGGATTAAGCATACATATATGTAATAAGTTATTTGTCTCCAATCAGGTATATCTAACACCTTTGATCATTCACCTGGAATGTTGAAATATTTTTTTAGTTTCCTGAACTTTCTTTACTATTCTTTAGGCTAWTAAAACATTCTTGCAAAAACAAATATATAAAGAAACGAGGGATATTTAAAATAACATTTTTWAACAGTTTTAAACACAGTTTTTTAGTCATCCAGGCACTGGTTTGAATCTTTGTGACTCTTGAATAAGAAGGCTGTTTTCTCTGCATTATCGATATTTCTCATTATCAATATCTTCCAACTATATTTTATGATTGCGTTACGAAAATTCTAGAATTTGGTTCTATTCTCAAAACAAATTTATTAACAATTCATCGATAATGGAATATTAACTTTTCATGTACACTGAAAAATGGCCATGGTTCACGGTTAATCCCAGACTATCTAATCATTTGTGAAGGGATCTTTTAAACCGATCACAATAGTATATATAGCAAAACGAAGAATTTTGAAGGAATAGCAAGAAGTAGACTTACTTTCGATACTAATTCTTTGTGAAAAGCACATCAGACTAGACATTTGGTCCCAGAATTGAACCTCCATTTTCTAATTGACGACTAATGCAAGCTTCGAAACAAATATAGAAATAGTCGAATACAAATTAGCAGCAGTAGTAGTACTGAGCAGTAGTATAGCAGTAATTACTAGACTCTTTATTTCAAGATGGCAATACATAATTTACTTTTAGCCCTTAGATAAAACATTTGCCACAATTAAAATGTGTCTCTATTCAATACACTCTATTGCAGCACAGAAACGTTGTAGTATACATTATAAAAATATCTAAAGAGATGCAAAACTTAAACTGAAAAGTCCATAGAAATATGACCGACTGAGTACCAGCAGGGTGTATGTCCTTAAAGATTTGCTTTTGGTTTCTCAACTTAGYTTATGTAAATATTTTTTCAGTTGGTTTCTTGATAATGATGATAGGATGTCATCGAAACGTCGAAATTTATCTGCGTTAGTTTTTCTGATTAATTCAATAACAAAAGTCAATCTTATAAAGTATATTTGTTGTTAATGTATAGTGTGAGAACAATTTGGATCAAGAGTCGCTTATGTAGTACGACAATTGAAGGTATTTACGGAATGTCTGATTGTTAAGCAACAGCCTGTAAAAATAAGATTTACAAGAAGATTTGAAAATGTAGGAGTCTAGACGTCAACCATGAAATACAAACGTGATTCGCAAGGAAACATGAAATAATCTCGATTCAATTCATAAGCTGAATTTACTGATAACTTTTATATTGGACTTGATATGGATCAAGTATTTTAAGTTTAGCTTTGAAATTCTTTGGATATTTGCAGTATCCCACTGTCACACTGAAATAATCAACCAATATGGTATGGGTATTCATGTTTTCCAACCTGCCCGGAGGCATTCATATATAGAAGCTTCTAGTTCAGTGTTCATGATCATTATGATATTTCTATATATAATTTAGGTTATTTCTATTTTTATGGGCTCATTGCATAATCAGTGCAAAGGATCGAACAGTATACTAGTCTGAGTTATCAGGAAATCGACGTTTTCGGAACATTAATTTTCTAGAAAGTGAAAGGACAAAAAAAAAAAAATTTGATTATGCAAAACTGATGTCAAGATACATGCAAAAAAAGTGGAAGCCGTGTGTGATCCTGATTGGGCTACCTRTGCTTCATGCAGCACGCGTGAACTAAAACTTCGGCAAAAGCCACTAGCATTTAAAGTGGCAGTTAATCAGGGGCCGCGGAGGGGTTGGGGCAGTGGGGCGGGCAACAGCCCTCTCACATTTTCCCTTTTCCTATACTAGTCTCTTATATTTCCCTTCCTTAGCCTACTCACTTTTATTGAGCTGTTTCAATAATGTAATAAAAATGGAAATTGCTACCAGGTCACGAGGACTTTTTGTTAATTATTCCCGTACAGTGGAGAAGCGGTTGTTCAGTGGTCAAGGCAGATTCTTAAAAACATCCAAAAGAGAAAATGAAAGCTAACCAACAAAAAGTTACGACTCATAAAATCAAATTCTCTACGTTAATTGTTTTGTGCTGTTTCACACAAAAATCGCTGCCGTTTTTGAAATAAAAAATGAAAAAAGAAACTAAGGGAGGAGGTGGAGTGTTGAAAGTTTCAAATGGTTTAATCACTTCCTGAGTAACATTACTGTAATTATTAAAATTAAATCGTCAATGTTATTGTTCTCTTTCTTATACAGTACCGACCACGTTAACCAGTCCAAACTTTAACCAAAGTACTGTCACTATTAACGAAACACAGACTGCACAGCTTGAATGTACTGCAACTGGTCACCCTACACCCAGTATTAACTGGACAAGAGATGGAGTGATCGTTGGCACAGGAAGCCCATACACTACACCAGCAGTTACATCCAACGATGACAAGGCGTGTTATACGTGTGTAGCTTATAATGGAGTCCTTGATGCCAAGACGGCTAACTTCTGTCTAAACGTTCAATGTAAGTATGGAACTTCTTAAGGCCAACTATCAAACTAACCAATCAATTTTGTATAAAGATGATGGCTAGTAAACACTAGCGTGGACTTCGTCGCTGTTTCTAATGAAACAGTTATCGTAGATTGATAAGTTTCACACCGTGGTGAAAATAGGAACTGACGTTTCGGACGTTAGCCCTTTGTCGGAGTCATTTTGGAATTTTCTTTTTTCTTTCTTGTTTCAATACTGAATTTATTTTTCTTATTTCTTATTCCTTGTTTGTTTGTGATGAATGCACAATTTCATGTAAAAATAAAATTTCGTCTTCTGCACAAATTTTCTGATTGAATTGCACTTACTATCAAGATCAAACTTTGATAATTTTCATTTCTAGATAAACCAAAAAACGCAACAGTTTTGAGTGACAGATCAACAGTTTGCCAGAATGATAAAGTGAATCTGTCCTGTACATCAGGACCAGCCAACCCAGTAACCAGCAGTTACGAATTTTACGATAATGATGTTCTTATTGGAACCAGTGCATCCAACGTTTATGAAACTACAGCTACTGCAGGCTTACCATCTGTAAACAAGTTTGTTTGTGTACCAAGAAATCTTCTGGGACCCTCCTTGAAAAATGGAAGCGTGGAAGTTACTGCAAAAGGTAGTTTTATAATATCACTCTTAATTTCCGAAGAACGGATAGTCGCAAAAAGCCCGACGAGCAAAAAACGTAGTGTTTAGATTGCTAAGTTGACCCATGTCTATTGTACATTTGATTTTTGACAAACTTTAGTTTTGTATCAATTGTCGATTTTTTTGCAGCTGCTTCCACGGAGATAACACTTGGAGAAATCTTTACTGCAGACATAAATGCAAATCTTATTAAATCAATATTTTGGGCTTGTAATCTATCTACTGAAATATTTTGATCTTACTTGAGCTAATGCTTTCTATTGATATTCGAGCTTCCAAATATGTTACACGAAAGGGACTTCTGATGCTATCATATTGTGCTTTAAACAAGACGGCTATAAATAGCTGATTATCTTCTAGCTATAGCTTTAATGACCAGATTCATTATTCATCCACTTTTAGTAGCGTGTTTTTTTAAATATTATTTTATTGTTCACATTTTTAGTGGCGCCAGCTATAGTTACGTCACCTGTCTCCACAACTCTAGCGGAGGGAAGTTCTTTAACACTCTTTTGCAATGCCTCTGGAGTACCTGCACCTAATATCACGTGGACCAAGGTTGGTGGAGGCATTGTTGGCAGTACTGAGACATTTACCATAAGTGGCGTCACGAGAGGAGACGAAGGGTTCTACAGATGCACAGCAAGCAACGGCGACGAGTGCAGCAATGTCACTGCTGACGCAAATGTTGTCGTAAACTGTAAGTCTTTCTATACAATTGTTTATTACATGATATAAAAATATTTATATAAAATAGATTTTACCTGAAAATTGCTTTATCAAAGGGAGGAATCAATCTAATTTTTAAACAATGAAAACGGTGTGCACTCTGTTATTGCTGTTGTAAGTGATATTTATTATAGCGTAGATTAATGGCTTTATAATTGATGAGCTTTGTTTTCTGTTTTAACTAGTGACAATTATTTCAATCCTTGTTTTGCTTTTAGAGGAGATTTGGGGCTGCACTTGCATGCAAACATTGCACTAAATTGTAACTTTACCTCTTTCTTTACTTGCTCCATGGATTTAGTAAATCCTTGTAGATTCCTTTATTGCCTCAACATGATTTTGTAGAGCAAGCTTTAGTTGAAAGAATTGAGAGTAAAGCATAGCACCTCACTCAGTATAGTATGTCAAACCACCCAACCATTCTCACAGAGCATATGTACTATTTCAATGCTCTATATAACCAATGAAAGCCACTTAATTTGATTCGATTTCTACTATGGCTTTGTTTGCACCGGCACATATTCTTCAGTTTCACTGATTAAGAAAAGCTTATTGTAGGTTTAGCGCCTCTAACCAATAAGAGCTACAAACAGATAAGCAACAAATATTAGGTATCTTGAAACATAGACGTGTTTTGGTTGTAAGTCCAAGCTTTTATATAAGGAAATAATAGAGAATTAGTTTAGTCCACACCCTTCTCTAAATATTGTAGTCATGGTCTTCAACATGTTCTATTCACTGAACTCATCTACCTTTTAATTTTTTTCTTCTTTATAGCATGGTCATGATGCATAGCATAGTTGTTTAAAATTCTAGTCAAATATGCATCGAATTTATTCAGTTTTTAGATCTGATTTTCAAAGAATTCTTCAACTCCTCAAGTAAGGCGGAAGGGAGCGTTGTTGGGCGTAAAACGAACTGAACAACTATGAAAGGCAATAAATATTTGATTTCACCAGAGACTCTCATCTGCGCATCTCATTAAATAATTCTTACAAATTTTTCCTTGTCGGCTTCAGTCATATTTTGATATTCAGTTTTTGAAGATCAATATTTCATCTTCTTTGCATAAAAATTGTCACATTCTTTCGACCTTGGTTTTACATGGAATAAGTGCACAAATGAAATCATCCGTCAGATTTGAGTAATCGATCCAAACATTCTTCGCTGGAATTCGAAATGCACGTTTTAAAATTTCATTTTGATATTCATCATCTCATTGTACATGTTAGACCTTACACTAGATGCTCGTTACAGTGACGCAATGAAAGTTTTCGATAAAAACCCAAGGTACGTCTAGAGTGGAGATCCATTTCTTTACTTCACTATTCTCGTTTTCATCTCAAAGCACTATAGGAATAGTTTTCTTCACCTTCATGTAAAGTTAAAGTAAGATTAATATCTAATTTGCAAGCCTTTACACATCGACATTTCAATAAGCCCTTTAAAGCACTAAAGTTAAGAGCAATTAAAATGGCAAGATAATACTTTAATTCTCTTTTCGGTTAGAAATATCTACAATTACCAAACTTTGGGGAAGTTATATTTGTTTTAATCCGGATTTAAATTAATTATTTTCAGATCCACCAGAAAGTACTAGTATAACAACAAATAACAGTGATAACACTTTCCTAAAAGGGAACAGTGTAAGACTATCATGTGCGTCAACATCAAAACCACAATCGTGCAACGTGACGTTTTACCATGGCAACACTGTTATTCAAAGCTACTATGACAAGACATGTGCAGGAGCAGATGCTGCTAGTCACGTGATACACAGTATTGATGGTTGTAACCTGGAAGAGTATTCATGCAAAGCTGAAAACCAGTACGGGCAACAAGAGGCTAAAATCAACCTGACAATAAATGGTAAGGAAGACAAAAGCCTCAGTTCGTAATAAACCATACTGGAGTATTTCACTGACAATTGTACTTCTTGACAACTTAAATTGAAGACTTAAATTATAATTGTTAGTGTTCAATGAATTGAATTGATTTTGTGCATCCCATTTCAGTTCCTGCAACAATCAACATTTCACCTGCAGCTGACGTTGTTCTAATAGAAGGAGATGCTTTGCAGCTTAATTGCACTGCTACAGGTTGCCCCACTCCAAATATTACATGGACAAAGACAGAAAATAGTGCATCTTTAGCACTTGTGAATGGCTTCTTTTTGTCTCATAGTATTAACAGCTTAAGCAAATCAGACACTGGCCATTATAAGTGCTTTGTAGACAATGGAGTTGCAGGAAGTCCTTTGGATAGAACAATACATGTAAATGTCACATGTAAGTATAATATGTTTGAAATACCGCCATATTGACAAGCACTTTCCATCCTGCCATCCCCCCACCAAGCACCCAGCACCCACAAATCTCGTCATAGAGTTATTTGAAGTTTGATACAAACTTAACAAAGTGTTAACAAAATATTTCTCGTTCTAGACAAACCAGAACTCACAAATCTGACCAGCACAAAGACTGAGGCCTGCCTGAACGACTCAGTTGAGTTACAATGTACAACAAATGCCAACCCACCAGCACATGAATATCGCTTCTACTTGAATGATCAGCTTGTACATACCAGCATGTCTGGAGTCTATCAGTTGAATGTTCCWCAAGCAGGYAATAACACATACAAGTGTGAACCAAATAACACTGTTGGAGCTGGACAGAATGCATCGGTGACCATTGCCACAAAAGGTATTCGACAATTCTTTAACTCCTTCAATGTACTGTTTTTAGTTTAGTTTATTGAATAGTAAGGATTAGCCAAAAGCTGTGCTTTATAAGTGAACGGAGCACAGTGATGACGCCAACTGCGGCCGTGAAGTACTGCTAGATCCTGCAACCTGCTTTCTTTTTGTGTAAATAAATTCAATACCAAAATAAAAGTAGTAACTCTATAATAAAACGAATAAAACTGCTTGCTCCGTTTAGTAATAAAGCACTTAGGAAGCGCCGTAAGCACTCAACAAGTGTGAGAAGCACTCGCATACGACTTTTGTTTCTTCTTACATTCTATTCTTCCTTACACCACTTCCTGTGTGCTTCATTACTTAACGGAGCACGGAAAAAGCTGTTGTACTTGTTAAATAAAGAATTTAATTATTTATTGCATTAACTTAATTTTATTGTTTTTTTCGTATTCTACTTTCAAATAATTTCAGCTCCTCCACTGATAACGTTTTCAACACCAAACCAGACTGTGGTAGAAGGAGACAGAGTGGTTCTTATGTGCAATGTAACGGGTAGTGATCCAATGAACGTGACTTGGAGTAAAGTTAGTGGTTCATCATATCCTGAAAGTTCTAGTCACACCTTCACAAGTATTGTACGTGGAGACGAGGCTACGTACCAATGTACAGCACACAATGGAAATGAGTGTCCTGCAGCAACTGCTCGATCAGCCATCACTGTCACGTGTAAGGAATTTTATTTAAGTTATTAGAGTTTTGTACTTTGCATTTTAACAAAGTTTTATAAATTATCTAGACGATAAATGTCGACAGTAATGTTAGTATATATATATTATATCACACAAAGCGTAAATAGCTAACAAATGCTAGATCGCATGTTATGAAGTAAGCTGAAGATCAATTGAGTAATATCTTAATATTTATAACAGTGCATAATCGAACCATAAAAGCCGTGTTTAAACTGCGGAGGAGCTTGGTAGTATGTTGAAGCTTGATTTGCCTTTTCTTAGTTCAAAGTGTAAAAAAAAAAAAGAAAAAAAAAAAACCCAAAATGGTTGGATGAATAATCGGAGTTCTATTTTAGAAATTTTCCAATTCAGCTTATGCGGTATGGTCAGTTGTACCAAGTTTATTAAGTCTAATCTTAAGTTTATTACGAAAAAATGGATCATTATACGCATAAAAGAGTATAAGAGTTTAAAAACCTTTGTAAAAGAAAGGAAGAATGCATACACCAAACACACATCGACATGGTTATCTCGGTTTCTTCATTTACTACTGGTTTCAACCACGCTACATGTACAAGGCTACTTGATTTGAATGTTAAACTGATAACCTTTACAATAATACTAGAGAAAGTGTACGAATGCAGACTGAAGCTGAATTACGAGATTTTTTTGAACAACTATCTTATCCTTGCAAAAGGTGGGTTTGAAATTGAGATATGGCTAATCATTTTACCGACACAAAAAAGCATACATTAACGAGCAACTTAAACTAGACCACTTTAATATGTGTGCTAAACTAAAAATGCTAGCAACATTTAAAACAGTGACGTCCATCTTCTGTAATAAGCTAATAAATCAAATGGAGAGAATCAACATCAATAGTATCACTATGTAATGACATTCTTTGTAAGCTATAACTACTTATTAATGCTCAGTAGCTGATACACTATTTTTAACCCCATATAACCCTAATAAGAAACCACTCATTTTTTTTGTCTGTAAGTCGTTATACTTTCTTTTCAAATGATGTTGTTTTGCTTTGGCTCACTCGGGTTTCGACATTGATTTTGTTGTTGTTGTTATTCTTAAAATTGCAAATGAATGTTTACAATATATGCCATCTAGCTGCTATGCCATTTCCCTGCATTTTTCTCTTTTTATTTAGACAAACCCGAAAGTACTAATTGCTTTACAAACAAAAGCAGCAACGTATTTGTGCAAGGAGAAACAGTTAACTTGACCTGTCAGTCATCAGCAAAACCCGCCCAATGTAACGTGCTGTTTTATCAAGGAAATACGTTACTGGCTAACAAGTCAAGTGCCATGTGTTCAGCAAGTCATTTGCTAACCAACATCCAAGGATGCAATGGCGAGAGGCTTTCGTTTAAGGTTCAAAACGTTGCAGGGACTGGTAAAACAGTTGATATTAACATTACTGTGCAAGGTAAGATATATGTATATATATCTGGCAAAGGATTTCAAAATAAACTTTAAGAAAATAACGCTAAACATTCAGTGACTATCAAAGCTAAACATTCAGAGTATCATCAATAATAAGAATTGAATGTAATTTGTTTTATCAATTCATCTCTGTGTTGTTTACTAATTTACAGCACTTCCTAATCACACATGCCAAATCGTACTTTTTTTCTGGCTCGAAAAAGAAAGTTTTGTTAGACGTCAATCAAAGTGTTTCCAAGGCATTGTCTGACTTTGATTTATATTTAAAAACTAAGTTTGTCGCAATAGCAAATTGTACGATTTCGCTCGTGTGATTGGGAAACACTATAATCAGTAAACAAAAAAAGGTTTTAAGCGTCTTGCCAGTGATGAAATTTGCCATTTATTCCTTAGAACAGGGGAAAACATAGCATTTGTAAAAAAAGAGAAGACTGGCTGGACAAACGGATATGTTTTCTAATGTTTGCTACTTTGCCTTTTTTTGTGTGTACAGTTCCGGCAAACATCAGCGTTGTACCGTCCACAGAAACAGTTGTTTTAGAAGAGGGGAAGGCTCTTTCTTTAAATTGCAGTGCCACAGGATGCCCAACTCCAAATATCACATGGWCAAAAGAAGGAAATAGTGCATCTTTAATTCGTGCCAATGGCTTCTTCTTATCTCATGGTTTTAACAGCATAAGCAAAGCGGCTACCGGCAAATATAAGTGCTCCGTAAACAATGGAGTTGTAGGTAGCCCTCTGGAAAAAACAATATACGTCAATGTCACATGTGAGTACAAAACGTTTTTATAAAAAGGACACGCCCAATATTTAAATTCCACTTATTAAGCTATTATTCAACCTAGTCTTATCATGGTAAAGGACCGAATAAAGCTAACCATAGCCAGCATTTGTAACTTTTATTCTGGGAAAAAAACTCACTTTTCTCATAATGGCAGTACACAAAAGATTTATTTGAACATTTGAATCCAAGGAGTAGTTGCAATGTGGTATCTCATCAACGCAGTCAGTTTCTGGCTAACATGGTTTAGTAGGATGGGTCACCATTCAACGTAGTAAGGTCGGACATAGATTTTAAATAACTTCTTATTATATCTTCCATTTTAGACAAACCAGAACTCACGAACCTGACCAGCACAAAGACTGAGGCCTGCCTGAATGACTCAGTTACGTTACAATGTACAACAAATGCCAACCCATCAGCATATGAATATCGCTTCTACTTGAATGATCACCTTGTACATACCAGCATGTCTGGAGTCTATCAGTTGAATGTTCCWCAAGMAGGCAATAACACATACAAGTGTGAACCAAMGAACACTGTTGGAGCTGGACAGAATAAATCGGTGACCATCGCCACAAAAGGTATTCGAAAATTCTTTTACCTCTTTCAATATACTGTTTTTAGTTCAGCATAAAGCATTGTTGCATTCCCCAAATTATATTTTATTGACGTGTTCTACTTTTTTAAAATATTTTTCAGCTCCTCCTAAGATAACGTTTTCAACACCAGACAAAACTGTAGTAGAAGGAGACAGAGTGGTTCTTATGTGCAATGTAACGGGTAGTGATCCAATGAACGTGTCTTGGAGTAAAGTTGGTGGTCCATCATATCCTGAAGGTTCTAGTTACACCTTCACAAGTATCGTACGTGTAGAAGAGGCTACGTACCAATGTACAGCACACAATGGAAATGAGTGTCCTGCAGCAATCGCTCAATCAGCCATCACTGTCACGTGTAAGGATTTTTTACCACTAGTTTCACTTATGATTTTAATCATGATCCATCTGAAATTTAAATTATTATAACGTTATTGAAATTACGCTAAATACATCAGAGAGGCAAAGAAAAAACATACACGAGATTTTTTATTTTATTTTTTGCAAAAAGAAACGATCATTGTCTAATTATTCTTCGGAACAGATCGATATTGCCATCGGAAAATTTCCCCTGTCCGAGTTTACGAGAGAGAGACAAAGGCGGCCCTAAGAGGGATGTTTGAAATGTTTCAATGTTCATTGTTTCTTCATAGCAAGCTCCAAAACAGTTTGAATGTGTTTATTACTAAGATCGATCAACGAGCTTTTATGCTTTATATGATTCATAACATGAAAACAGGTATTTTCAGTAAAGATATTGTCATATTTCAAAACATTAACCCTTGTTGTACTGTAAAACGTTTTACAGTACTATTATATTATTATTTATTGAATTATTAATTAATATATAATTCGTAAGTTATAGTTAAAGTTATTCATTCTGGGATTGAAGTTATGTAAAGAATAGCCGAATCGTAATATTTTGTATTTACCATGATTTCCAAACGCAAATCTTAAAACTCTAAAGATTCTATTATAGTTTAACACGTTTTCGTATTGGTTAAAATATCTCGTATATATGCCATTTAATTAACTACACTGCACTGTTGTKAATTGCATGCTTTCAGCAGTTTGTCAGTTCTTTTCCCATTGAGAAAGATGGATGATGTAACTATTTTTAAATCGAGAAAATCAACACAGCACAAGATAGTCAAATCAACATATCAAAGACAAGTGTCTTTTTGGCAAATGGAGATAATTCTGTTGCATGCTTTGAGTACTTGTAGTTCGTCAGTTTTTTCCATTGATAAAGAAGAATCTCGTATGAATCAAGCACTTTTTTCAATTCGTACAAAGTCTACACAGCACAAGATAGCTGAAATACCACTACACCAAAGACCAAGTTTTTATCAACATGCATKCCATTACTGTAAGGTGGGTTTTCCTTCTAATTAAGTCAAACGAAACTGTTATGGTGTCAATACTTGCATATTCAGCACTATCCAAGCTGTAGGACTCTAAGTTAAGATATCTTTTAACTTTTATATCTCGACAAAAAAACAGTTATAACCGTAGTAATCATTGGAAGTCCTCAAAGCACGTAATCTTAATGTAATGCAAAATCCTCTTAAATAACAATTTAATATCTTATGACTATTGATCTCAGTCAATAAATGTATCTTCACTTTTATTACACTCTGTACTATTGCTAAATACTAAAATACCTATAA